AGTAATAATGTGAAATATTTTCACAAAAGTCACCCTGACACCTTGACAATTACTGTGAAAACTATTCAGATTATACCAAGCCTATCAAAACCTTTTTCCTACCTGATAATAAAAAGCTTTTCCTTGGAGTGGTTCTCATCTGTTGCATTAGAAGGGGTGCTTTTTTAATATTGCATTTATCTGTAACAACAGATAAACTGGTGATCATTGATCATGAACATGGGTGGAAGTATTGACGATCAAGAAGAAAGGCAGCGTAGTTTCACCAACACACTGTGATTAACTCATGATCTCTCTGATGTACAAGAAACGCAAAGTGAGTCTTCAGATGCTGGGGGAAAAAGCAATGCTTCAGCACTGAAGTGTAAATAAATCTCACAGAGACAAATTGCACCAATACGAAGTGGCAAAATCCCAGGAACAAACGGATAACACAGATGGAGTGTTAAATAGGAATGCAGTGGTAAAATTCAATTCCTCGCTGTGCTTAAGTGGTTCTGATGGTTTTATAAACTTTTACAAGCTTGCAAGAATGTTTTGCTCTGGGTTAATAAATGACAAAATCTCAGGCCCCCTTGGTACTGATCAGGACTCCAATGGACATTGCACAGCCTATTAAAAATGGCTGTATTGCAGCAAATTTGTAAAACCTCCATGAGTTTGAAGGCAATCATCATGCTGCTTTAGCCTTGATAATAACCAAATAGTTTTTGTACCCCGTCACAGAGCTACATCACAGGTACTTTAACCCTGGCTTACCAAAGCTGGCTCTTGGGGCATGGAATGTAACCTTTTTGGTGGGGAAGGAGCCTGAGCTTGTGCGTGAGGTTGAGAGGTACCGACTACTTATAGTTGGGCTCACCTTGACGCACAGCATGGGTTCCAGAACCAATTTTCTTGAGAGGAGCTGGACCTTATTCCACTCTGGAGTTTCCCATGGTGAGAGGCACTGAATTGGTGTGGGTCTACTCTTAGCCCTCCGACTTGGTGCCTGTGTGTTGTAGTTTTCCCCAGTAGATGAGAGGGTAGCTTGCCTGCACCTTTGGGTGGAGGCTCTGACAGTTGTTTGTGCCTACATGCCAAAGGGCAGTTCAGAGTATTCGGACTTCTTAGCATCCTTAGCGAGAGTGCTGGAAGGTGCTCCATCTAGGCGCTCATTAATTCTGTTGAGGAACTTCAATGCCCACATGGATAACGACAGTGCGACTTGGAGGTGCATTATTGGGAGAAATGGCCTCTCTTGTCTTAACCTGAGCAGTGTTCTGTTGTTGGACTTCTGTGCTAGTCATGGTTTGTCCATCACAAACACCCATCCATCCATCCATTTTCTTTACCCGCTTATTCCATTTTTGGGTCACGGGGGTCGCTGGTGCCCATGTCCAGCAATCACTGTGCGAGGGGCGGGGTACACCCTGGACGGGTCGCAAGTCCATCACAGGGCCACATAGAGACACACAACCATTCACTCTCTCACTCATACCTAGGAACAATTTAGAGTTACCAATCAGCCTAACATGCATGTTTTTGGTCTGTGGGAGGAAACCGGAGTACCCGGAGAAAACCCACGCATGCACGGAGAGAACATGCAAACTCCACCCAGAAAGGCCCCTGGACCGGGGTTTGAACCAGGGACCTGCTTGCTGAGAGGCAGCAGCTCTACCAGTTGCGCCACCGTGCTGCCCCATCACAAACACCATGATTGGATATAAGAGTCCATAAGTGCACTTGGCACCAGGACATCCTAGGTAGGGCAGGGTACCTTTCTAAAAAAAAAAAAAAATTGGTATTGTGTCTGTGTCGGTACCTTCACTTCGGTGTCGGTTCCTGGATGGTTCTTTTTTCAGTACCAATTTTGTAACTAACATTAATTCTAACAAGAACAAAATTAAGTTACACATTACAGTACAAATCTTGAGTTTTATTTTTTAACTTTGGTATTTTTCCATACCAAGCAGTTTTCTTACATAAAAATAAACAAATAATTTCCAGGTCAAAATAACACTTGCAAACAAGTTTACTCGTCAGTGTCTAATGCTCACTGCTACACACTGAGGACCTTTTCATTTAGCGGTTTGTCTTCAGAAAAATCAACATCTCTGCTTTCTCTGGACACAAATCAGCCCACGCCTGGCTGATGGTGTCTCCAGCAGTGGAAAATGTTCGCTCTGAGGGTGTGGATGATGCTTGTTGCACACACAGATACCTGGTTGTCAAGTTTGACAGCATTGGCATAGTGTCCCTCACATTTCACCAGTGGTCACTGGATTTACTGAGGTTAGGGTTGATGGCAGACTTCTGTACCTCTGTGTCTCTTCCTGAATCTTCTCTGTGGTTATCTGGGGTTTAGGGCTCTTCTCATCTCCCTAACTTGACATTAGAACACAATATCAACAATAACATGGTTGTGTTATTATTGTTCAAAAACCAATAAGATAGAAAGCTGAAAGATAAAGGCTTAACTGGTCAACAGTATCATTTACAGCTTACTTAATTCCACCATATAGAAACACTTTTCTCCACTGTAGAAAAAGGCAGCTAACTTTTAACAACAAAGTTTGTGACTGTCCTGTGGCCCTCATCTCACTTTTCTTTTGTCTGTCTTCTTCACATCACGGTCAGAGGCTCCTGTGAGGAGAACATTAACATAAACAGTGAACATTATGTGAGCTGTTTAACCAGCTGACCCGATGGTTGAGCACATTTTTACAAGCTAAGCTTCATCTGTTACTGTCAATCTTTAGTTAGCTTTTGATTTTAGCTAGCTACATAGATGGCCATAAAATAAAGCTACACACTACTATCTTAAAGTTAGCGTTACATGGATCCTAGTTTAATTCCACAGCTGCAGTAACGTTAACAAACATAAACTTACCAGCTGAAATCCCAGACACAGCTCCGTCCTCGGTGTGAATTGGAGCCCGGTCGTGGAGATTTTAAATCAGGTTGTTCAGGCTCTAACCCAGGACCACACCCTCCGGTCCCCACTTTTCAAGAAGAGAGCCACCACCCCATCCATCCATCCATCCATTTTCTTTACCCGCTTATTTCATTTTGGGTCACGGGGGTCGCTGGTGCCCATGAGCCACCACCCCAGTATGCCAATTCAGTGGCACTTCTCCCGATGTCCAGGCAATGTTGCAAAGGCGTGTCAAACAAGACAGCTCCACAACATCCAGAGCCTTAAAGAAATCAAGGCGGATCTCTGGCCACCTCCACCCCCCGGAGCTCTACCGCCACAGAACTTTTTACTACATAGGTGACCTCAGCCAATTATAGGGGCATCACTCTCCTTGGCCGTCCTGGTAAGGCCTATTCAGGAAGTTTGATCGTTGGTCAAACCTCAGATCCAGGAGGAACAATGCAGATTCCATCCTGGCCGTGGAACACTGGACCAGATCTTTACCTTCACAAGGGTTCATGAGAGTTTGGCCATCTAGTCTACATGTGTTTTGTGGACTTGGAGAAGTTGTTTGACCGCGTTCCTTGGGGTAAACTTTTGTGGGGGGAGCTCTGCGAGAATGGGATTGGGGGCCAATTCTACAGGCTTCTTAATATACAACCTATACAACCAGTATGAGAGTTTGATTTGCATTGCTGGCAGTAAGTTGGACCCCTTCAGTGTGGGTGTTCCATCTCTGCTATTTATGGATGATGTGGTCCTGTTGGCACCATCATGCCATGATTTTCAGCTCTCAGTGAAGCGTTTGCAGCTGAGTGTGAAGCGGCTGGTATGAAAATCAATACCTCCAAATCTGAGGCCATAGTCTCCAGTGGTAAAATGGTGGATTGCTCTCTTCGGGTCAAGGGTGAGGTTCTGCCTCAAGTGGAGGAGTAAAAGTATATTGGGGTTTTCTTCACAAGTGATGGAAAAATGGAGTGCGAGATTGACAGATGGATTGGCGCAGCATCTGCAGTATTGCAGACTCTGTGATGGTCTGTTGGGGTAAAGAGGGACTTCAACTGTAAAGCGAACCTCTCTGTTTACCAGTCGGTCTACGTTTCTAACCTGACCTATGGCCACAAACTCTGGGTAGTGACCGAAAGAACGAGATCAAAGATACAGGTGGATGAAGCGAGTTTTCTCCATAAAGTAGCTGGACTCCCCCTTAGAGATAGGGTGAGAAGTTCAGTTATCCGGGAGAGATTCAGCGTAGAATCGCTGCTCATCCACATGTTCAACTGGGAGGAAACCCCTGGGAAGACCCAGGACAAACTGGGGAGACTATGCCTTTCAGCTGGCCTGGGAACAACTTGGAATCCTCCCAGAAGAGCTGGAAAAAGTAGCTGTGGAGGTGGCCGAAGATTAGTCTATGGTGGCCAAGGCCAACAAGAATAGCTGTGCTAGTATATTTTCTTTATAGAATGATAATTTTTCTATCGTGGTCCAAACTATGTAACATATCGTACAAGTCCTGGTTTTCAACCATTAAATGCAATTACAATTCTTGGCAATCAGTTTCCTGGACTTTGCAACTTGCTTCATCTTTGCCAGGTTAGGTGGGCATGTTCACGTTGCTCGCTCAGTGCTCCTCCTGTTAACAGTGGCAGCTAGTAGCCACCACTGTTTTCTATTTCCGCCTTTAGGTAGAAATGTGTACCAGTACAGTTTTCATATAGTGCAGGTCTTGTCAATGCCATTTTCTCCTTCAACTTAATAGAAGCCAAAATCTTTCCAAACTCTGGCTTTAAATGTAGGAGAAGCTGTTTTATGTCAGTCAGCCTTGTTATTCATCTGTGTGCACATAATAAACTGTTTAGATACATTTTGTGTTCCTCAGCATGGTGGTAAAACCAATAAATTGTAACATTTTTACATTTTTGAGTTCATTCATAATTGTTCATGTCTGCATCGAAGTACAGATTTTAACCCTCACCCCTACCTGGCATAGACCATTCACAACGCTTACTAGGGTTGTCATCCAGTTTGAAAAAGGGCCTAATATTAGTCAAATAAAGGTTATGTTGTTTCCTTTACCTGTATTTTTGTTTTCTTCTTCTAGACTCCATCTTTTTTCCTGGTCGGTGTGCTGAGATCTTTGTGCATGGAAAGAGCGTAGGGCACCTTGGAGTCCTCCATCCAGATGTCATTAACCGCTTTGAGTTGACCATGCCCTGCTCTGCCCTGGAGATGGACATCGAGCCGTTCCTGTGAATTTTATCTTCTTAAACTTCTACTGCAAACTGTCATGGCAATGTTTTAGGGAAAAAAACATGATAAATGAATTGAACATATTTGTAATATTCTGTTTCTGTGTTGTGGTTTGTGGTGAACATTATCACTTTTCGCTGTTGCATGAAAATCTGAAGCACCAGCATGATGTTGTAAAACTAATTTTTTATTGTCCTCCGTCACGGAGCAAAGACAGGGTATTTGTAATACTGTCTGTCCATCCATGCTTGTTGTGAGCAAAATAAGTGAGGTACCAACTTCCATTTTAGTGTGACTGCATCTATGCATAAAAAATGTTTATTTTGAAAATTGGGTTGACATCAAAATTCAAGATTTATGTTAAAGTCTCTGTTATAGGCTGTAAACTGACACCATTAGTCAGACTGTTTGCGGTAGATATGAGTGGGGAAAATACTGCAAGTATTGACATCACCAGGTGGTGCTGAGCTTTGTTTAGCTCCCTGTAGCATTGCATAGCTCCGTTTAAATCACCATTGTGATTTATGTAGGATTTTAGTGCAGATAACTTTTTTGTTTTAATTAGTGGGCTTGAATTTACTGGATTTAAATTTAATGTTCCAGTAAGCTAATTCTGGTAAAGATTTTCAAAGTTGTTGAAAACACTAATCCCTAAATGGAAAGTTAGTTCCGCTGTTGAGGATTAGCAGAACAGTGCCCACCACTATATTTATATATACAGTGGCGCTTGAAGTTTGTGTAGTCTTTATAATTTTCTATTTCTGCATCAATATGACCTAAAACATCATCAGATTTTCACACAAGTCCTAAAAGTAGATAAAGAGAACCAGTTAAACAATTGAGACAAAATATTATACCTGGTCATTTATTTATTGAGGAGAATGATCCAATAATGCTTATTTGTGATGGTAAAAGTATGTGAACCTCTAGGATTATTGGTTAATCTGAAGGTGAAATTAGAGTCAGGTGTTTTCAATCAATGGATGATGATCAGGTGTGAGTGGGCACCCTGTTTGATTTAAAGAACAGGATCTATCAAAGTCTGATCTTCACAACATGTTTGTGGAAGTGGATCATGGCACGAACAAAGGAGATTTCTGAGGAGCTCAGAAGAAGAGTTGTTGATGTTCATCAAACTGGAAAATGTTACAAAACATCTGTAAAGAGTTTGGCCTCCACCAATCCACAGTCAGACAATTGTGTACAAATGGAGGAAATTGTTACCCTCCCCAGGAGTGGTCAACCTAACTAAAATCACTCCAAAATATCCCCCTCCCCCCTGCTTGACAACTGCTGGCACTAGCATAGCATGCGCAACACAGACATGTCACCTTGCTAAGGCAGGTGACCCAGGGGAAACACTGCAGTGTGGCATCCACCACCTACTTGGATATCTTGGACCAAAATATTAAGGGTTATTTTATCTCTGTAAATTCCAGTCCAGAAAAACACTCTTCTCAAAATCTACAAACATTAAGTACTGAGATCCCTCAGCCAAGTAACATGACTATTTTTACTAAAGGCAGAATTAAATGTTATCAGAAGTTGTTCGTTTGCATGCGTGTGTGTGTGTGTGTGTGGGCGGGGGGGGGTTGCCTGCCTTCTCTTAATTTGAGCTGGTATGCCATGGTTTGTGCATGCTAATGGAAATGTCTCATTACCCATTGATTTCAGTGGCTACACGGCAGAGACCCTCCTCACATATGACGTCCCCATGCAGGAAACCCGCAAGCACCAGTTCCAAACGCACAACGAATCCAAGCAGGCACCCTCACACTCCCCGCCTTCCACTAAAACTGTCTTTGGTGACATGAACGCTCAGGGAGGTCTCAAAGCACTTAATGATTTCCTGGCCAACAAAAGCTACATTGAAGGTTTTGTGGCATCCCAAGCTGACGCTGCCGTATTCGATGCCATCCCTTCTCCTCCCTCACAATCCTTTTGCCACCTCAGGCGCTGGTACAATCACATCAAGTCCTTTCAACTGGAGAGAGCACGTCTCCCATCAGCCAAAAGTCAGTTTGTCCTCCCACCCACTCCCCCTGCCTCGCCAAATGACACCAACGACAATGACATTGACCTTTTCGGTTCTGACGACGAGGCAGAGAGCTTAGAGGCGGCTAGAATAAGAGAACAGCGCCTCGCTGAGTATGCCGCCAAGAAGTCCAAGAAACCAGCACTCGTTGCCAAGTCCTCCATCTTGCTTGATGTCAAGCCCTGGGACGATGAGACGGACATGGCCAAGATGGAGGAGTGCGTCCGCAGCGTCAGTATGGACGGGCTGCTGTGGGGGCAGTCCAAGCTGGTGCCAGTGGGCTACGGCATCAAGAAGCTGCAGATAGGCTGCGTGGTGGAGGATGATAAAGTGGGCACAGATCTGCTGGAGGAAGCCATCACCGCCTTTGAGGAATATGTTCAATCTGTGGACGTGGCTGCTTTTAATAAGATCTGATCTAGATTAAATCATTTAATGGTTTTCTGGTCCTGGCTGTAGTTAGAATATCACAAAAACAGTGATGTAGCTTTTCACACCATCTTGTTAGACTAAAAACAAACCCTTTTTTGAAGGCACCAATAAATGTTCCAAACATCTAATGAAGCATTTTTTTGAAGCCTTTTTTTGACTGCATGTTTTTACCAAGTAGATGTACACATTTCAACATTTACCTTGAACTTGTTGACAGATAATTGGTAATCCAAAGGGAAAATGTTGCAACCAGTGGACTGTCAGAATAAAGTAAGCTGCACAGAAAACGAGCAGTTTATAAATAAAGTCTGACAGGTGCTCCGACCTGCCGACAGATAACTTGGAAGGATGAAAATGGGCGTTGTTAAAGATATCTGATCAGTTAATCTGGTTTGCTGATCTTTCTATTACAACAAGAGACAGAAAACTACAAGAATCACTTTAGTACAACATAAAAACTTTATTCCCATCCAGCCCCAGGATTTTATTTTTGCTCAGCTGTACCTCAGTCACACATTGTGAATCATTCCCACTGTGATGTTCCGCATTCTTACAAAATGATAATTTTATGCATCATAAAATAAATATAAGGTCTGTTGTTGAGATGACCACACTGATCAGACTTGCAGGATGTTTCGAGGTCATAGCAGTCCAAGTAGAGCAAAGAATCTGTTGACCAATATCGAGTTAACGAGTCCAATGGCTGTATATGTGGTGAACTTTGACGGCACTTCAATCTCTTTCCTCCTCCTGGCACTCTCATCAGTTCTTGGCACTCTGTACCAAGCGTACAACACTTTCAGACTCAGTGTTTTCACAATCTGTCTAGTTCCCACCAGTGCCACAACTCCAACCATGAAGCGTGCAGCACCCTGAGCCACAGACAGGGCTGTCAGTGTGGGGAAGGGTACAGGTAACAACCCCTGGGGCTCGAACGTCCGCCCCAGCTGCTGATTTACCCAGTAACCCACCGAGCAGCCGGCGCACACTCCCAGAATAGTGGTGGTATCACCTCTCGTGGTGGTGTAATGGTCCAGTTCAGGGTACGAGTAGCTGAGGACGAGGAGCAGCGACAGAGTAACAACGGGGGAGAAGGGGCTGTTCAGCTGGAAGCTGTCAAAAGAGTCCCAGAAAGGGTACGTGATCAGAATGATGACAGCCGAGATGAAGAAGCCGCAGACGACATCCTGAAAGAACAATGACAGCATTTGTTCAGAAACATCAAGTTATGTGATGAGGTGAGCCTGTCAGGAAGGTCACCGGTTTGACCCCGGACTGACGACAAAATGGGGGTGGGAAAGGTGAAACATCTGCCTCCACCCTCATTTGTCCCACCCTGGGCCCTTGAGCAAGGCCTTAACCCTCACCATCTGCTCCCTGGGGTACCCTAGATGGCAGCTCTGCTCCACACAGAGGGCTGTGGTAGTGTCAGAATGGGCATTTGGCGTAAAAACAATATCCAAGTCTTAGTGAGAGTTCACTGTGGCAACCCCTGAGAAAAGGAGCAGCCAAAAGAAGAAGTCCCCCCTCCACCCCCCTGTTGGCTTATCTGCTCAACTTTAGAGAGAAAAATTGCGACATTTATTCTAACAAGGTTAAGTCAGGTCCTCTGGACGAATTCTTTTCTAACATTTATTCTGACAAACTTTTCTACCAGTACAGTAAATCTGCTGGTTTTGTACCAGAGTGTCTTTGAGCACCAGAACTGAAGCTTTAGTTCTAAACTTAGTTGTGAGTGTTGCCAAATGACTACAACTAAAGCGGACGTTTATTTGATTTTCAGTTTTTAGTACAACCCATGCATAAAAACAGATCTTACCTTTGCAAGTTTCACAAACTCAAAGGAAAAGTTCTGGTGGGGTTTGTTGGATAACTCCTACTTATTTACTTGACGGGTGGTGTAACGTCTGTGATCATGAAATTAATTTCACAATCCAATGCTTTGCAAGCATGGAAACCAAGAGAACAGGTATGAGTCAGACACAGAACCACAGTGATGCACGACATCCGTCCAACCTGAAGGAGCTGCAGCAGTTTGGACATGAAGAACGGACCAGAACTCCAGTGGTTAAACAGACCAAGATCATGGAGATGACTCTGCCTCAACGGCTGCAAAGGACGGCTCTGCATCACAAGTAATGACTTTTGAGGTGTGCATGCACCACTTTTCAATTGTACACTATTTAAAACTATTTTAAACATTTTCCCTTAATTTAACATGATTAATCTGGAGTATTGTGTGTTGGTTCATTGGTTTTAATCAAACTGAAAATCCATATAAAGTACAGGTTCTAAAGCAACAAAGCAATACTAGAAGGGGTGAATACTTTTGCTATACAATGTGTCACTGGATATGGAAGGTATATTTAGGGTATTTTCTTTAATTAGTCTAAAGCAAGAGAACCAGTTTTCATACACTAAAATCATTTTTATGATCTGTATCTGTTTAATGTGAAGTCAAAGAGCTACATGCAAACATAAAATCATTACTGCCAACATCTACGGCAGATTTCCAGGACTGAGAGAATACTTGGACACATACTTTAATCTTGTATTAGCTTTAATTTTTCCTGTCATTGTATGAATACCTTGTGTGTAAGTGTGAAGTGACATGCTCACCAGAACTGAGTGCATTCCAGTGTAGAGACGGCTCAGACACACCAATGACGACAGCGTCACTGCAAACAGCAGACCGATCTCAAACTGGAACTGAGACACACAAAAACACGTTTTAGTCACCTCGCTGATTCAGTGTCGTCAGAGAAAAGTGTCAGTCCAGACTGCTGGGCCTGTTTGTCCCATGTAAGGATAACCACTGGAACATTTCCTTTGATATCAGAGATTTGAGAATGAGATGAAGATTAAT